CACTCTTGAGATGGGGTGTTCCACAAGATTGCTTGTAGGTTTTCCTCGTGATGTATATGCTTAATTAATATGCTGGTTCTGGACCTTACTCACCCATAGACTCCATGGGTAAAGCAGAAGGAGGATAGCTGCCCATCTCTGTCTTGCATTTGATGGAATAAATCAGGTATGGTTTGCTTTTCAAAATAGGGTTTTCATTATCACCTGTCACACTGTCTCCAGTGTTGACGTTCCTTTGGACTCTCTACTACATTTCTCCCCTCTTTTTACTTCCAGTGGAGTATGGGAGTCCTTCCCACTGTCCATTTCTAAACTGCTGGGGATTTGGACCATGGAGACAACCTTCTGAATGGGATATTCATATATATGATACAAATAATGTTACAATCATTCAGTTAAGTTTAGTGCAGTGGTGTTCTGATGGTGTAGATGATGAGATGTCCTTCAGTCTGATGCTCCATCTCTGTATGGGTTTACCTTAGGGGATGTTGTATCTTTGGAGTGAGCCGTCAAAATACAGTCCACCCCTTCAATTTGGATGTTTTCATATACCAAGGATGTTATTGCACTGAGGGCAGTTCCTGTTGGATGGTTTTGAGTTAGTTATTTTCCATTACCAAGACATCTTTCTTATGCTGATCATCCAGATGTCGGGTTCCCGTATTGGTCAAACAATTTATAATGATGCTATCATGTGTCATGTTCACGGAGCAGTGGGTTCATGATTCCCTCCATTCTGCTGATCTTGAGGTGAAGGCGGTATGATCCTTTTCCTAACCTCACCAAATGGTTGGGTTTTGTATTGTAGTTGACTTGCTGCCAGTATGATTCTCTTTCCTACCCCCACAGTTCCCGATGGCTGAGCTTTGGATTGTAGTTGATTTACCGATTGTATGATCCTCATCCTACCCCCCGTGTGGATATCGGTTCCCAGTGGCTGGATTTTGGATGCAGTTAACTTGCCATGAACACACTGTCGTGCCCTAGCCACTCTTACACCTAGGGCACATCCTTTTACTTTCACCCATATTCCAGTGCTCTATGGGATTGAGATTTCTTATACGGTAGTTCGGATCCCTATCTCAACGTTGTTCTCTCCCATATGGATGTACTTTTCCTTTTTTCTGCCTATGTCTGCAACATCTAATTCAACACTGTGCAAAGAGTACCTGATACAGATGTGATGTGGTATCTCACATGTGATCCTGTACTGTGTGGATCTACTCTTTTAGGGTGTTATTGAAACGTTTTTGAGGAATACTTCATTTTGTTTTTCCAATGCAGTGGTCCCTGCACCTATTCTATGTGGGATTCTAACTATTTATGTGAACGATTGTAATGTACAGTATTAGAAGTTATAGTTTTCCTATGCTGAAAATATATTTCCAATAGGTACTTGCCTGCTGTCATGCTTCCTACCCTTCCTCCCCACTGTAAACCGGTGCTTCCATTTTCTGTCAAAACTCAGAAGTTATAGTTCAGTAGAAATAAACAGAAGGAGTCACATGTTGCACTCTTATTGGTGGAGGGTTGTCACAAGATGATTTACATGTAAGACACAGTTGAATCAGTTGATTGTAAGGTACGTGGGAGCTCAAGGCTTGTGAAAAAATTGTTGCATATAGAGGGCATTACTGAACGAGAATAGCTATTTATGTGAGAGGAAGTAAATACCTATCGGAAATATATTTTCAGTGTAAGAAAATTATAACTCCTAAGCCTTGGTTTTCTAAGTCTGTAACTGTTATGTTTCTAATAAACATTAATAAAATAACAAAAACCACTAAAAGTGCAAATATTTTACAATTAACTCATAATTTATATAATTTTACTGTCCTGTAAAATTTCTGGTTACAATAGTAATATGCTTATAAGCTTATTGAGTCAATTTAAAGTATTAAAAGTGTACAAAAGATAGTTAAGTATATCTTATTTTTGGAAAGAAAACATATCTGTTCTAATGAAGATCAAAAAGTTCATGATATAAAATGTGTAATACGAACTTAACATTTGCATTATTGTTATATGAGAATTTTAAAACTACAGTTATTAGTAATTGTGTTGTAGATTGGATGTATTATAGTTATGTTGTTGGCTACATTTTATTTTGGTGTAGGAAAAGAAAATGTAGGGATGATGAAGTTCCTGAAATGATTGATTTAAGTATAAAGAAGAGAAAAATTGACACGTTACAGGAAGGCTTAAATATTGATAACAGTGCATCATCTTTTAGCACCAGTTTTGATGATGAAACTAGTGGGAAAAAAAAGTCTTTAAGGTGTCAGCCATTCAGAGCTGTTCGTTATTGTGATTCTTACAATCAAAACACTGCCATTGATCAGGTTCAGCATGGGCAGCAGGCAAGAGAGTGTGATTCTCTGCCAGACTCTTCTGATTCAGAGGAAGTGGAACTTCCGTTACCAACACTTAAAGAGTTGAGTGAAGAAGAGTTGCGAGAAAAAGAAAAAAAATTGCATAAGCTACGTGAAGAACTTAGGAATGAAGAGATGAAGCTGGTTTTACTAAAAAAACTAAGGCAGAGTCAGACTATGAAAGAGAACATGAATACAGCTCAACCTATACCAGGAAAAGTAGCACCACCTGTTGGTCGAAGTATCCAGTCAAACTCTGGACATTCTGTTGAGCAAGGACATCACTCTATTTTGCATGGCAAAAATTTTGGACAGAATTTACTTCACCAGTCACCATTCACAATTTCTCAATTGGTGAGTATAAATATTAGACTATGTATACGCATGTTCACGGTCTGTATATGCTTATGTTGTTAACATTTGTTAAAAGAGTAAAATTGGTTGTTTTGGTAATAAAATTTCATCAGATATTTTATGAGTATATGGAACTTTTTAATTAAAGGTAAAAAGAAATGTTTAAAATTATGATCTATTTGATCATAAGAAATAAAGCAAATTAAATTATATGTACATCAGCTTTGGTACTGAAGTTTGAAATTACCTTAAAGTTGGCAAGCTGAGGAACTTCTCATGTAGCAAAGTATTTGATGCAAACACTTCAACATTTAGTAACATTTTGGCTAAAAGCACAAACATTATTTCAACAGAATTTAAAATGTCTGTGCTTTTTTTTAAAAGTTTTATTACTGACTTACTCTATATAGTGGGTGTCAATCAAAAAGGTGTTAGAGAACATAAGATTTATTTTCTAAAAAGGATTTCATCCTACCAACATTTCTAGTTAAATAAATACAGAATATAGAGTATTAGTACATACACAATTTATGAGCATTACAGTTACAGAGACATTTCAGTTTAATTACTTAACTGTTCATATTTGTAAACATTTGCCTTTCTTTTGTTTTAGTTGACCATGCTTGGAAGTCTATGTTAAAATCAAAGTTTTGTCTCTTAGTTTCCTCGACATACAATGTCTAGCTACTCACATCAGTGATAGACAGCGTGTGATTTAATATCATGCTTCCAGTTGATAGTAGATAGTGGGACAGTAACTGAATATTTGTACAAATGCATCTCACATGGATAGATATCACTTAATTGGTTATCCTACAAAAACTTCCACCAATCATTGAGAGTTTTCAGTTTTTTTTCACCTATTGGTCAATAATTATTTAAAAAAGTTCCATTTGTTCAACAGTTTAATCTTATCCAATAAAATCTTGACTTAGATTATAAATGCTCTTGTCCATGAATATTTAATTCAATATCAGATGGTTCAGATAAGCATGAAAGAAGAAGAATCTAAACACTTATTTTTTCAAGGTCTCCCAGACTTTTATTAAATTTTTAATTAATTATTCCATGAACTCTTTTTGTAGATCTCTTAATTACTGTTTCTTTTCCTGATTAAATTTTACAGCATGTTTTTCATACCGAAAAAACAAGTATCACTGTAATTCAATTCCAATGTCAATTTCATGTTATGTTTTCAACTGTGTAGCACAAGTTTCTTTTTTTTGCTTTATCACTGAGTTAACAGATTTTTATTTTGAAATATTAACTCTTTTTGTATGGGGTAAGTCGAAGTGACTGATCATGTTACCACAAAGTAACCATCATAGCTTCAATACTATAACTTTAACTATATTTTGTGTATCTTTCAGTAAACATTACAAGTCTTTTATACACAAAAAATCAAACTTTTAAATTAAATATTGTTCTTAAGATTTGTCTATAAATACGTGTAGTCAGAGTGTTGACTGCTCTAAGTGCAAAGTGATTTTCATGTTAAGGTTAAAATACTTTTCTTCACCTGAAAATTTTCAAATTTCATTTCTGTAATTTCTAAAACCTTCTAAGTATATATGAGACTTTTTTTTTTCAGTGAAAATACATTTTATCAGTTATTTTCTTTACCCTAATTCTATATGGACTTGGTTGATTTGACCAACCTTGTAACTATCATAAAAAATGTATGAAATAAATCTAAATTACTTTTTTTTCTAAAATTACTGTAGATTGTAGTTGGGAATTATCCTAAATAGCTTAAAGCTTGTAATAGTCAACATCTTTTTATACTTAATTTTATTGTTTTATTGACCTATGAACTGTGTCTAACAATCCTGCCACACAAATTGTAAATCACTCACATGTAGCTCACACTACTATAATGAATGCATGAGCATTCCTTGTGAAGATTTATTATTATTATTCATAACCTTACCTAATTTAACCTTATAAGTTTCGTATTTTTACATTTTAGTTAATTGTATAATAATAAATATGGAATATATATGAAAAACAAATATAGTACTTACCTTTGACCTCTTGTTTTTTGCTGCCAGTTTCTGGTGAATTTTAAGCCTACTTTTTATACTAATGGTACTAGTATGCTAGATAATTTTTATCTACTTAAATAATGCACCTAAGAACACAGAATAATATCACACAAAGCAAACAATGTTCTATAATTATCATAATTTAACTGGCTTTCTAACTGTGGCATAAGAGCCTTAAAACAGTTCCCAAAATTTCTGAATCTGAACACTGTGAGAGATACTTTCAAACTGAAGATGAAATAGACAATACTCTGTACTGAAAACAGATTGGTTAGAAATAATTAGTGTAAAACATTAGAGATAACTTGGCAATTTGTGAACGACAGCATGTGATGGGTGGGCATGTCAAATGGGTCTGATTTTCTAGTTTATGACTGTAAACAAATAAGATTGAAGGGTATAAAAATTAGACTTTGCTTCACTAATATCTATAGTATAGTGAGTAATTTATGTTAAATTCCATACTTCAGAGATTAGTAGTAAATAAGTTAAAGAAGGGAAAAGACCTAGAGAACAAATGTCCCGCACTAGGGGAGATTGAGGATTTTTAAAATATTTCTTTATAAAATTAAGAGCTTATAACTTGTATTAAAATTTGATTTGTTACTGACAGTACAATAATGATAAAGTAGTGTTATTAAATTTGACTGTAACTCTAAAAATTTATTACCATGTGCACTTTGACCTATCCATAGCATGAGGATTAAACATATTATGCATGATATGATTTAAGAATGCTATGGTGGCCAAAAACTAACAATTACTAATATTTTTACACATTCCTTGAGCAACTGCTGAATAGTCTTCATACAATATACACACGAGGCTAGTCCAGTTCATCAAGATAAACTGAAAAGCATTAGGGAATGAGGACTATCTAGCTCCAGTACTTAAATAAATGTTCTTTGTTCTACATATAATATCTGCTGCATTTTCCTCAAGACTTTTTCTCTATTATAACTTCCTGATGCTTCAGTAAATATGGGAACTTATTTACAATTTGACTGCTCAGTAATGCAAGTCAATGAGCAACACAATGAATTGGTTTAGTATATGTGCTTTTTTGTGTAAAGTAAATGCTGACACTTTTCTGTCTTGCCAAGACACTAGCACCATCAGTGCTAAGAAAATCCTAAGAAAAGAAATACTTCTTTGCATCCTTTAGTTTTATGGTTTTAATCTTTAAATTGCATAACCTCTAGAACCTCATAATTTACTATCAAAAGTTTTTTTTAATGGCCAAGTGTTAAGAATCACAGCTGGACAGCTTTGTGTAAACAAATGATTGGGATATAAGCATACCATAATCAAATCACAATCATACCTTTTGATGTGCACATGGAATTATGAGTATCACGATGTTTATTTTTTTTTCATTTGAAAATTTTTATCTAACTGAATAATAAGTTTATAATTTTAACATTTTAGGTACTTCTAAAACAAAAAATAAAAAAATGCACATAAAAAAACAAGAAACGTAGTAAGTGTGTCAAGATTCATGCTTTTTGGAAGAATGATGAAGCAGTTTAAGCCTACTTTATTGTAATAATGTTGGTGGTCCAAAGTATTATTTCAAATATTCGTTTTAGAATACACGATCTAAAACTATTATAATTTAACTGGAGTTCTAACTAAGCTATAAAAAGGTTTTAAAAATTTTCTTAACTGATAGAGCCAACCAATGAAACAAAGACTAAATATATCATAACCTGATGCCTAAATCAACTAGCCATCAAATGAATTTTGTAAAGAACAGTCTTCCATTTTTATTGCTTATAAATAATCCAGTAGTAAATGTCAGAGAAATTGTAAAATACAGGATGAGATAGGTGGGGCATAGCATGTGGGTTTAACTTGTTTATATCTTTTGTAAAGCAAGAAATTTGGAGGTTACAAATTTATATTATAGCTTTGCAGTATCTATAGTATAAGTAATGTAGTAGATGGCAAACTCAGAAGATCGTATAGTGGTCGAACAAATATACAGTTGTTACAGGGAAGTGAATATTATGAATTTAAATATTTCCTTATGAAATTAAGAAATTGAAACTTGTAAATGAATAATATTGTATTACTAATCCTTACACATTAAAAATGTAATTTGTAAATGACTTGAATAACATTGATAGTGATTGCAGCTCACATAGCCATTGATCTTGAAAGTTGATGACATCAATAGCACTTAGACCTCTACTATGTCTGTTCTTTCTCAACTAGCCTGATGAACCCTGGTGTTGGGTGAAAGGCTTTGTCACACTAAATGTGGCAAATGTAGTGCGTTTAACATATTCTTTACTTTTAATCTTAACCTTTTAGAATTATATACTAAAATTTGCTTTACAAATTGTGTTGATGCCAAGTTTACTGACATACAGTGATAGCAAAGTTGTTGAATTATGTTTTGAATGTAAGTATAAAATGGTCATGACATGAAACTTTAACCTGCTTGTGCATGTAGGTTTAAAGTGCAGTGGTGGGAATAATGCCACTTTTGACCTTTCATTGATAAAATAACTCATAAAAATCACCATACCTGAAACACATTTCAAACACACGGCATAACTATAGAATTGTTTAAACTAAAAAGAATTTTTTTTACCAATTGACAGTACAACAAAAACCAGTACATGACATACGTAATAATACTGTGCCATTACACATGACCCATGTAACCATTGACCTGAAAGCCAGTTTTCATACATATACCATACCACACCCAGTTTCCAGTCACTGGGGTGGTGGACAGAGGTTATTCATTCAGAGTGTTTGAGTGTGTTTCCCCCCACTCTTGGAGAAGAGGGAGAAATTGGAGGCCCTCCTACCCGGGACCCTGGATGTTTTTCTCCAGATGTTTGTAGGAGAGGCCCCAGCCTATGTGGGAGCCTACTCCTAATTACCAGTTGGGTTAAGCATGGCCCTACTTTTTGATCAATTTTGTTTCAGTACATTGTTCAT